CACACCTTGTGGTGCATCTGAGAGGCACAAAGATGTATCATGACCTTAGTCACCAATTTTGGTGGAGGGGTGTGAAGAAGGATGTGGTTGTGTTTGTATCAAGGTGCCTTACTAGTCAACAAGTGAAGGCCGAACATCAGAGGCTAGCAAGTTTGTTGCAACCCTTGCCTATAGCCGAGTAGAAGTGGGAGCATGTCACGATGGATTTTATTGTGGGCTTTCCTAGAACTCAACGGGGTAGTGATGCGATATGGGTGGTAGTTGATCAGTTGACCAAATCGACGCACTTTATACCTACGCGTGTAAGTGACTCGGTAGATTATCTTGTCGATCTTTATGTTAGGGACATATTGAGGCTGCACGGGGTCCCTATATCGATTGTTTCGAATAGAGATCCACGTTTTACGGCCTGGTTGTAGCAGAGCTTCAGAATGCCTTGGGCATAGGATTGATTTTTAGCACTGCATATCATCCTCAGACTAACGAGCAGTTAGAGCTCACCATTCATATTCTAGAGGATATGCTTTGGGGTTGTGTTTTTGCCTTTAAGCGGTCATAGGAGAGGCATTTGCCCTTAGTGGAGTTTGCCTATAATAATAGCTTTCAGTCAAGTATTAGCATGGCACCATTTGAGGCCTTGTATGGTCGGCTGTGTAAATCCCCCGTGTGCTGGGCCAACGTGGGTAATGCACCTTTGTTGGGTCCAGAATTAGTCCAAAAAATGATAGAGAAAGTTGCACTTATCCGTCAGAGGTTGGTTACGGCTCATAGTCGCCAAAAGAGCTATGTCGACCGTAGGAAGAGACCTTTGTCTTTTGAGGCGGGAGATCATGTCTTCTTGAAGATATCGCCTAGGCGAAGTTTGATGAGGTTTGGAAAGAGTGGGAAGTTGTTCCCTAGGTTTATTGGGCCTTTTGAGATCCTTGAGCGGGTTGGAGAGGTAGCTTATCGCTTGGCCCTGCCACCATAGCTCTCCAGCGTTCATGATGTGTTTCATATTAGTATGCTTTGGAAGTATGAACCGGATCCATTGCATGTGTTGGATTGGACCGATTTAGAAGTAGATGAGGATGCTTCGTATGAGGAGAGACTAGTGAAAGTCTTGGATATCGAGACTAAGGCCTCGTTTGGGAACAGGCTAATTTAGTAACTTTTTAGCTATTTGGCTAAAAGGGTAGGTAAAAAAAACTTGTATGTTTGGGATGACTTTTTGGCTAATTACGAAAAGATGTGCAAAAAGTAGAGAGAAAAGAGAATCTTCGACTTTTTAGTATGAGTTGTTGGCTTTTTGGCTAATTTAGTAACTTTTTGGCTAATTGACTAAAAAAGTAAATCCCCAAACGGGGCCTAAGTCTTGCGAAACAAGACAATCCATTTGGTAAAAGTATTGTGGCGACATCACAGAGTCGAAGAAGCAACTTGAGAATGTGAGTTGGAAGTCCGTGAGAAATATCCGGACTTATTTGTCGATGTTTAAGCATGTATTGAGATTATGTTATGTTTTGAAAATATGAAAACATTGTATATGCTGTATATGTTCTAGAAATACGGGTTTAATATAAATATTGTATATGTTTTGAAAATGTGAATTATATATTCAGTATTGAGAACTGGTTAACATGATTGATGAGATTGAATGGCTGGTGAATGGGTCATGGTAATGGAATTGATTGATTATCATTATTGAAATTGGTGTGAGCATGGTTTTAATGTTCAAATTGTAATTTTGGGGACGAAATTCCATAAGGGGGGGAGAGTATAGCGATTTTGGTTTAGACCCGACCCAACTGTTATTTTGGATGTGGGTTTCGTTGTTTCGTATTGTTGTGCATATCTTACTTCCCTCATACTTCCTTGAAATTGGCTATTGGGTTGTATCGATTGCGTTTGAAACATGTTAGTAGCTTGGTTTTCAAACTTTTGTCGCCTACAATTTTACTCCTCTACTCAAGCGGCCATCCTTGCACTCGAGCAGACTTTGTAAACTTTCAGTACTTTTGCAGATCTGTAAAACTACTGGGAGAGTGTGTTTTGCACTCGAGCGGTGTTTCCTACGCTCGAGCTGTCGTGCGCTAGAGCGGCCATTCTTGCACTCGAGTGATGGGTTTCTGTCTGCAAAACTATTGAGAACGTGTATTCTATGCTCGAGCGTCACTTCCTGCACTCGAGCAGTGATGCCCTTTTTCATTGTGTCTTGGCGCTTGAGCAGTAATCATTTCTGTGTCTGATGCTCGAGCGTTACTTCTTGCGTTCAAGCGGACTATGTGTATATCAGTTTGGGAAAAACACTTTTTAGATCACTTTTCATATCTTTATCTCACAAAACCCTTGATCTAGAGCCTCTCTCTCTACTTTTCACCCAAATTTGGTGGTTTCTCTACCCGAGTGTCTTTGTTAAAAAGGTAGAGCTCACTTAGAGCTTTGTTTTCATCCGAACAAAGTTGGGTTTTGGCTTCCTCGAAGTGCCTCATCTCTTCTCTTGGTCTTCTAGCTTTAAGGTTGGGATTTTCTATACTCCTATATGACTCTTAACTTAGTTATTTGTTTTGTGTAAACATTATTATGATTTTTAGAAGATTTTGAACAAACCTAGGGTTTTGGTTTAAAATCCAAAGAGGAGTTTCCAAATGGGTGTATTGGAAATGGTTATGGGAGTGAATATGAGGTTGTGTTGAAATAAAATAGTTGATTATGATACTTGGGTTGGATTTTGGAAGAAAATGAAGTTTACCCTAAAATGTCTCTATTACGATTTTGTATAAATAAATGGAATTAAAATTGAAAATATAAAATTAGATAGACGTTTATGTAAATGGTGGAGCTAGATATGCATTATTACTCACCTATGGAAATTTAGATAGTTTATCTGTCATGAAGATTGTATATCTATTTAGAAATATCTATTTTAGCTATCGATGGGGGATAACTATGACTGTTGTAGAAATTGCATGAGGATTAGGTAAATTGAAATTAATTTCTCATCCGTTGTCATTGAATATGATGGTGTCCTTTAATACATTGTATTTGTATGATGTTTGGGAGGAGAAATGAGATGTACTCCACGTTTGGGAGAAGAAATGAGATGTACTCCAGTGAATTAAGTTGGTCGGAGAGTCCAGGGTGAAAGTCCCGAAAACCACGAGTATACATGGGTACCAATTCCCACGAATGAAATATCCGTGAAATGGTAAATGGAAGTGATTGTATGATGGTCGTACTGATTAGAGACCTAGTGTGTTGTGTTCTCAGTTTGGTTGTCTAAATGAGACAAAATTGATTCCATGAATTAAAATATATAGCGGGTATTGCATGATTTGCAAAAGAGTTATGAAAAGGTTTTTGAGTGGTATTGCATCTGCATCTTATCCCTATACCTTCGTTAAGTTTCATATGTTCTACTAGATTATTTATACTGGACTTTGGCTCACCCTATGTGAGAAAAACATTTTAGGTGCTGATGATATGCCTCCGCCAAGGCACTAGCTTGGGAGGATCTGTAGTAAGAGCTTCTTTTATTGTATTTGTTTTGTGTAGCCAAGGGCTTTAAATATATTGGACTCAAAGTCTACTTTTGTTGTAACCAAGCCTCATCTTGAAAATATGTAAGTCCTCTCGGCATTTCTATCTGTTTATCTTCCTTTCTCTCCCTTAACTTGTAACATAGGCTATAGATTCAGAGGTAGGCATTATGAATGTATGATGCATATGTTCCTCTTTTGTATATCATATTGGATCTAATGGAAGATACCCCTATTATTGTTATTGTCTTATATTAGATGTTGTGGATGGATTATTGTAATTATTTCGGGACCTTACACACTATATAACTATCACATGCTTATCACGTAGGACAAATTGTGTATTGGTGGGATATATAGATAAATTTAATCTCTTACCCTCATTTCGTAGTTACATTCTTATCACATAACTAGATTCTTTTAATGATTTAAACAATGGAGTAACAGAAGTGGGACATTGACACTTATATAGGGACCAAAATGGGATTTGACCAAAAGTGTAGGGATTTGACAGTCATGATTTCATGTGTAGGGACTAAAGTGGGATTTGACCAAAAGTATTGTCATGATTTCATGTGTAGGAATCAAAATGAGATTTGGCGCAAGTGTAATTTACCCTATATGAAAATACTAGATGCGAGGGCAACGTGCACTACATGATAACGCGTGCCCGTAAATTGTTGTAATGTGTAATTTAGAATTATGTTTTTAACGTAAATATTCAACAGATTTGTTGTAGTTCTAAACTTTATGGAATTCATAATACGATCGAAATGTATATAACATGTGTATTCTAATTTCACTACAAGAATTAACACTTTTAGCAACAAAAAAATTGGTCGCTAAAAGTCAATTTTTGGTCGGCAAAAGTTATCCACGACCAATTTTTTTGGTCGCTACTTTGGTCGCCAATTGAGGGTCGGCAAAAGTAATTCGCGACCAAAATTGTGGTTGGTCAGCAAAAGTTGGATTTCGCGACTAAATTTTTGGTCGCTAAATATTTAATTACCGCGACTAATTTATTTGGTCGCCAAAACACTTTGGTCGCGAAAAGTGATATTTTCCCAACCAAAAAGTTTGGTCGCCAATTATCACATTCAACGACCAAAAAGTTTGGTCGCCAATGGTGACATTCCGAGACCAAAAATTTTGGTCACCAATCGTGACATTCCGCGACCAAAAAATTTTGGTCGCCAACCGTGACATTCCGCGACCAAAAAAGGTTTTGGTCGCCATTTGTTAATTTTTGCGACCAAAACTTTTGGTCGGCAAAAGTGAGTTTCCACGACCAAGAGCTGTTTTGGTCGGCAATAGATGTATTTTTTGCGACCAAAACTCTTGGTCGGCAATTGTCATTTTTTGTGAAAAATATTTATTTTGGATGTCGCAACTAATAAATTAGTCACCAAAGCAGGAAAACAATACACTTGTAATTCCTAATAATTCATTCAATCCATAATAAACCTATAATTTTAAAGCATCATTCAAATTAACTGAATCATTAACATTCGACACAATACAACTATTCTAAGTTTTCATTCACAAGTCACATCCATCTAGCATAACAAATTGAAACAATACATAATTCAGATTTACAGCATCAGGAAAATTGCTTAATCCACTAAGTTGCCTTGATAGCCAATCAAAAAGATCCTTGCGCCCTTCCGTGCCAAGCTTCGCATCCATCAAAGCAGTAGTGATGTAAGGCACCTAATAAAGAAACAGAATTGGAAAATTTATCAGAGAAGCATGATAGTGGCAACAACACTGGATTGCAAACCCGTATCTTTGCAAAAATCAATTAAATCCTATAAACATGTACATCGAATTGAGACAACTAGCTAGGCGTGGGCGCGGATCGATTGCGGCCACGGAACCTCTAATCCGTCATCCGTCCGCCAGATTGGCGGATTGGAGAAAATCAATCCGCATCCGTCCGCCAATCCGGCGGATGCGGATTGAGCGGATTGAGCGGATTGGCGGATAGATACGAATCGGTTTGGCGGTTTAAAAGTTTACAAATTTTCAACATAATTTAATTGTGTGCGCACTTCCTAAAAAAAAAAAAAAGGCATAATTCAAGTTTGCATAATTTAATATTCAAGTGGGATAATTCAAGCGTGCATAATTCTGGTAGTGGCATAATTCAAGTGTGCTGTGCATAATTCCAGTGGGCATTTCTTAAACAACTTGGGCAATGCAAAAATAACCATGTGATGAATTGTTGCACCGAATTCCATCCCAACAGCAGCCAGAAATCCAAAAAAAAAAAACTTGGTCAAATGAATTTTTGCATGAGGATTCAAGTGACGGTTCAAGCAACTTTTAGAGTTCAAAATCATCACTAAAGTGAAGTTTGAACTCCATAGAGATGTAACCACTCCAAGCTTATCTATATGTGTGTGTGTGTGTGTGTGTGTGTGTGTGTGTGTGTGTGTGTGTGTGTGTGTGTGTGTGTGTGTGTGTGTGTGTGTGTGTGTGTGTGTGTGTGTGTGTGTGTGTGTGTGTGTGTGTGTGTGTGTGTGTGTGTGTGTGTGTGTGTGTGTGTGTGTGTGTGTGTGTGTGTGTGTGTGTGTGTGTGTGTGTGTGTGTGTGTGTGTGTGTGTGTGTGTGTGTGTGTGTGTGTGTGTGTGTGTGTGTGTGTGTGTGTGTGTGTGTGTGTGTGTGTGTGTGTGTGTGTGTGTGTGTGTGTGTGTGTGTGTGTGTGTGTGTGTGTGTGTGTGTGTGTGTGTGTGTGTGTGTGTGTGTGTGTGTGTGTGTGTGTGTGTGTGTGTGTGTGTGTGTGTGTGTGTGTGTGTGTGTGTGTGTGTGTGTGTGTGTGTGTGTGTGTGTGTGTGTGTGTGTGTGTGTGTGTGTGTGTGTGTGTGTGTGTGTGTGTGTGTGTGTGTGTGTGTGTGTGTGTGTGTGTGTGTGTGTGTGTGTGTGTGTGTGTGTGTGTGTGTGTGTGTGTGTGTGTGTGTGTGTGTGTGTGTGTGTGTGTGTGTGTGTGTGTGTGTGTGTGTGTGTGTGTGTGTGTGTGTGTGTGTGTGTGTGTGTGTGTGTGTGTGTGTGTGTGTGTGTGTGTGTGTGTGTGTGTGTGTGTGTGTGTGTGTGTGTGTGTGTGTGTGTGTGTGTGTGTGTGTGTGTGTGTGTGTGTGTGTGTGTGTGTGTGTGTGTGTGTGTGTGTGTGTGTGTGTGTGTGTGTGTGTGTGTGTGTGTGTGTGTGTGTGTGTGTGTGTGTGTGTGTGTGTGTGTGTGTGTGTGTGTGTGTGTGTGTGTGTGTGTGTGTGTGTGTGTGTGTGTGTGTGTGTGTGTGTGTGTGTGTGTGTGTGTGTGTGTGTGTGTGTGTGTGTGTGTGTGTGTGTGTGTGTGTGTGTGTGTGTGTGTGTGTGTGTGTGTGTGTGTGTGTGTGTGTGTGTGTGTGTGTGTGTGTGTGTGTGTGTGTGTGTGTGTGTGTGTGTGTGTGTGTGTGTGTGTGTGTGTGTGTGTGTGTGTGTGTGTGTGTGTGTGTGTGTGTGTGTGTGTGTGTGTGTGTGTGTGTGTGTGTGTGTGTGTGTGTGTGTGTGTGTGTGTGTGTGTGTGTGTGTGTGTGTGTGTGTGTGTGTGTGTGTGTGTGTGTGTGTGTGTGTGTGTGTGTGTGTGTGTGTGTGTGTGTGTGTGTGTGTGTGTGTGTGTGTGTGTGTGTGTGTGTGTGTGTGTGTGTGTGTGTGTGTGTGTGTGTGTGTGTGTGTGTGTGTGTGTGTGTGTGTGTGTGTGTGTGTGTGTGTGTGTGTGTGTGTGTGTGTGTGTGTGTGTGTGTGTGTGTGTGTGTGTGTGTGTGTGTGTGTGTGTGTGTGTGTGTGTGTGTGTGTGTGTGTGTGTGTGTGTGTGTGTGTGTGTGTGTGTGTGTGTGTGTGTGTGTGTGTGTGTGTGTGTGTGTGTGTGTGTGTGTGTGTGTGTGTGTGTGTGTGTGTGTGTGTGTGTGTGTGTGTGTGTGTGTGTGTGTGTGTGTGTGTGTGTGTGTGTGTGTGTGTGTGTGTGTGTGTGTGTGTGTGTGTGTGTGTGTGTGTGTGTGTGTGTGTGTGTGTGTGTGTGTGTGTGTGTGTGTGTGTGTGTGTGTGTGTGTGTGTGTGTGTGTGTGTGTGTGTGTGTGTGTGTGTGTGTGTGTGTGTGTGTGTGTGTGTGTGTGTGTGTGTGTGTGTGTGTGTGTGTGTGTGTGTGTGTGTGTGTGTGTGTGTGTGTGTGTGTGTGTGTGTGTGTGTGTGTGTGTGTGTGTGTGTGTGTGTGTGTGTGTGTGTGTGTGTGTGTGTGTGTGTGTGTGTGTGTGTGTGTGTGTGTGTGTGTGTGTGTGTGTGTGTGTGTGTGTGTGTGTGTGTGTGTGTGTGTGTGTGTGTGTGTGTGTGTGTGTGTGTGTGTGTGTGTGTGTGTGAGAGAGAGAGAGAGAGAGTGTGTGTGTGTGTGTGTGTGTGTGTGGTAGCACATTCACAGCCAAGCATAAGAGAAAAGATAGTAAACTCTATCTTGGATGAGATATCTGGGTTGTGGATTACTACTGCCTGGCTGCTTCTCATCTATTTACCCAACTGGATAATATTATATAATACATATGCACACACTCATAGTCCATGATTCTTGTGGGGTAGTGTGTGTGGGACTCAAGACAGATTGGCCTCAAGTTATGAATGCCCTCAAGTCCCATCACAGATTTGAATGCCCTCAAGTCATGGGTCCAATATTTAATATAACAGCTAGTGCTAGTACTTCTCCTACAACATCAGGCCTACCTTGAGCGTCCTTCCCATCCAATCGAATAGTCTAAATGACCTTCCAAATGTTTTCTTTTTTTTTTTGAAGTCTTTAGTCAAGTTGCACATGCACATCACATAAATGAAAAGTTGTGGCCATTGTGATTTCACAGGCATCATCAAACACACGCCCCCCCCCTCTCTCTCTCTCTATATATATATATATATCTTTGTGTGAGAGTGGAAATTTTTGGGTAAAGTAGACCAACAAGGTTCCACTTGATGTTTGCAAAGTCAAGTCAATTAACTGTTTTTAATAAATCCTAGGCCATTCAAGAGCAGGCCTAATTTCCCATTGAAGTGCAATACATCCATAAGGATTATTTAAGCCACTGGAATAACGAAACATTTTCGGCTCATTTTTCAATGTTCATTACTAAAATGCAACATATTGCTAAATAGAATTTGAGTATCATCTAAACTTTCACAGACACTTTTAAATTAGATTCATAGACTCGACTCGACTCGACTCAATGAAGCATCAGACTTGACATAAGATTTAAGCAAATAAGAATGAAGAAGGCATACCAAGTTGTTTCAGAATGTCAGTGAACGTAGCCTGCAAAACATAGGAAGAAAAGAAGAAAACGCTGGTTATCCCTGGTGCAATCTGGAATGAAAAAAAAAAAACAAAAAAATCTAACTAACTAATTTTCTAACCATAACAACAAACAAGAACAAGAAATAAACATGAAAATAGTTGCTATTCTTCATAAAGAAAATGCTCGTTTCAATTTGCTCTTTTATGCCTTCATGCTAAAAACAAGAAGTATAGCAAAAAGCTCAGCATGAGTTTAATTACAAGCAAATTCTAGTAGTGCAACTTGTCCCTCAGTAATTGCATAAGAACATTGGTATGGTATTGACAACATTTTTAGATTTCTTTAGAAAAGACTCCATGTCATAATTTTGCTATTATGCCATTTTTTATGGCAAAGAGGCTGCTGTATATGAGCTCACCATTAGGTGCAAGGGGGTATATCTAGAAGATATATGGTAGTTCAGCCATAAAAACAAACAACAAATGTGGAGGTAGCTTATTTGGTTGCTTTTAAGAAATTCTTTCACTACAATTAGAAAAAGATGAAATTCTTGCCGTGTTGAAGTCAACAATTATAAAGAGATCAAAGTATACTAATCCTTCCCTTCATTTTCTCTCTTTTTTATTCTCCACTCTCTTATTCAGCAATGGAATATTGTTAATATTATTTAAGGTTATCCCTTACTTCACTAGGAACACAGCTTCATGTACAGCTTTGCCTTTTGGCAGCGTTTTAGGGAAAAAATGCTGCTAAAAATTTTATTTTTAGTTGCAGTCAATAACCGCTACAATAGCCTATCTATAGCAGCCTTTTTCAGGCCGATACAATAAAAAACGCTGCTAAATCTTGATTTTCTTGTAGTGTGTGGAATGCACTTACCTCTTGTAACTCTGAGACCACAAAGAAGACAGAGCCAGTGTTAACCGTGTCATAAAGTCGAATTCGAACCAATTCTCGGCTACATGGTTCAGGCGAGTTCACAGATGGAGGGCCATGATCAACTCCCCTAGGAATAGAAAGTGTATTCTCCCAGTACCCTACATTCAAGATATTGATCAAATACCACAATTTCACCTTCTACTTCTGACAATGGTGGAGAAAGGTAAGCAGCACTAAAGTGGAGAGGGGTAGGAAAACATTATAACTGGGAGTGGGAACTGGGGGTGCAGGGGGAGATATCTAGTAGCTCTGCCCCAGCTTCTAACTCCAACTAGAGATACTTAAAGCAGATCCATCTCTTCTTGGTACTAGATTGACTTTAATAACTAACCTTTTCCAAAAAGATTGCATCAGAACCATTGCAAAAGCTTTTAGAATTCCTTCACTAAATCTTGAACACATGAATAAACCTTTATTCCTTCACTAAATCCAATTTTATAATGTAACAAGGCTATAGACTTCAACTTTACGGCTTCTCAGTGAAACATATCATTAGGTAGTTTGTCTAATTTCTTTCTATAGACTTCAACTCATTTTATTCCAATCCTTTCTATGAAACAAACACAACCTAAGTGTTGTCTAATTTCTTAGGTTTGAATCGCATGATAAATCATGATGCATTAACTTATACAGACCTTGATAACCAAGATTGTGAGATACTCAAAAGTTTAGGTAGTTTTATAAGATTAAGCATTTAAAATTTTAAAAATAGGTTAGAGAGATGGGGTTTTGCATCCACACTAAGTCATTGATTATGCAAAGAAGGTAACCGTTATAAATTTAATCTCTCTCTCTCTCTCTCTCTCTCTCTCTCTCTCTCTTTTATTTTTCTTTATTTTTCTTTTGGTTTTGATCAGCAACAAATAGTAGTTAAAAGTAAACATGGTCACTTCTGTGTAAAAGTAGAAAGCATTTTCTGTTTAAAAACCAATGCTTCACTCTCTGAACCTCATCAGACATTGTTTTATCTTCAAGATTCTTCATTGAAACTTCAACATCATAAGCCAACCTCAAGCATGCCAAAAGATTAAGTCAAAATAAAATCATAAAATCACATGTACCACAACTTACAAATAATTTTAAAATTCTATATACTCCCAAGTCCTATATATTCTTCTTGATTATCTAAATCTAGGATAACAAAATCCTTTCCATCTAATTCCATATGACTTTTCTAAGAGAATGATCCCATCAAATATTCTAATCCTAATGAGTACGCCTTGTACACAAATGATTCATGGCACATGCTTTGATTTTAGCAGAAAAGAATATAAACTATCATGAAAGAATAAAACATATTTAGCACAAAAATCTTTAAAAACCAAATTATGAGAAAGCACCCCAAAAATCTTTGGAATTAAGCAGGTTTATAAGAGCATGGGAACTATAATGATATCCCTCTCCATGCAATTAATAAACTACACCCATTTGTCAGAATAGTAAGCCCATCTTCATGTAGGCCACATAACCAAATTGATCCATGGTCACCTGTTTCAATTAATTACATGTTACCATTGTCCCATTAAGAATCATTGTTAAGTTCATCAACATATATCATAGAATAGAACTGATAGCCAAAGGTGAAAAGATAGTACCATCAATCTTCTATAAGGGCAAATCAAATTTAGTTGTCACATCTAGTTGCTAGGTCTCTATACACACAAAACTCTAGCTTCCAAGTAGAATGATTCCATCTCAGAATATTAATTTAATCAAATCAAATCATTCATACAATTGAGTAAAAGTAATGCTGTAGTCTCTACACTCATTCTTCCTGGACAGAACAGAAGCATGTTAAAATATATTTATCAAAATAGACAAAAATGCAGTGGATATGCTCAACAAATCAAGGGGAGTCCAACAAACATGAAGAATAAAACTTCGATGAGTAAATTACTAAATTCATTGATTCTTCAGAGTAAAACCGAAGAAATTTTAAAAATGTGAAACCCTAGGTTAATCAGAACAATAAACAAACAAGATTAAACGCATCACCGAAATTCAGAAAACATTCGATATTCTCACCAAAATGAAGCTAAGTCTGTTTACTGAGACACTTCCTGAGCTTCCACTACTTGTGCTTGTTCATCTTCCTCTTTCTCTTCTTCTTCACGCTATCAGCCCAGATCATCATCGGAGTGTCGCTAGCCACGAAAGGCACAAACCCAGTTGAAGAAATAGGGTTTAGAGAAAACCCAAATGGAAAGCTTGGAAAGATCGGGGTCGAAAGAGAAGAAACCGAAACCGAATCCGAATCCGAATCCGAATCGAGATTTACATTGTGGTTGTGGGGATGGAGTGGTTTGGGTTCGGTGAGATGGGGAAGAGTGAAGAGAGGAGGTATGAGATTTGGGGGATGTAGTTTATTAAAAGTAGGGATAATATATTTGACAGATTTGCTTCGTGAGTAGTTTCTAGACAAGAGAAGCCATTGAAGACTCGGGAAGAACTGAACAACAAGTTCATATACAAATTTGTACAAGATTGAGAGAGAGAATACAGAGAG